CTTCTTCTAGTTTTTATTTATGACATTCTCGCGTAGGTCATGTTTCGTCTTCTCGTTTGAGATATTTGGCTTCTACAAGGGCATTAGTAATTGAATTTAATTATTTCAACTGGGATATACAAGTTATGCTGGGAATAGCTACTGCAACCAGGTATGCACATAGATTTAATTTGTTTGAAATATTTTAGATCTTATGTCATTACTTAATCCCATTTGAAAAATAACATGTTGCACTGACTTTTTTTTCTTTTTTTTTGGGATTTCAGTGTTCGAGTTAGCAATGATCTAGGAGCGGGACATCCGATGGTCACTAAGTTCTCGGTCATAGTAGTGACTGTAACAAGTATCCTAGTCAGCATAGTTTTCACTATAATCATGCTGATATTCGGGGTTGGGTTAGGCAAAGTTTTCACAAGTGACTCTCAGGTCATCGAGGCATGGTCTAGTTTGGCTCCATTAGTTGCGATCTCCTTGTTCTTAAGTGGAACTCAAATGGTACTATCAGGTAACATGATTTGATGTCCTAGCGTCTGAAACAAATAACTCCAACTTTGCGCATAGTTCTGTTAGACTAAGTGGTGCCTTATCATATTGTACACTTATCCCCTAGACAATATATTGATGTTTGTGCTAAAGCAAGGGGAGAGGGAGGGGGCGGGTCGATGGGGAAGTAACTCCTGAGGCAAGTTATAACAATATTGTGTGCATTTCAGGGGTGGCCATTGGGAGTGGATGGCAAGCTGCTGTAGCATATGTTAACTTAGTCACTTACTACATCATTGGTCTTCCTATTGGACGCATTCTTGGATTCAAAACAAGCTTAGGAGCGGCAGTGAGTTCTGCATTTTCTGTTTAATTTTCATAATTGTGCGAATATTCTCTTACTGTGTAGGATCGGGTTCAAGCTTTCACCAGCACGCCCCGCTTTTTTTTTTTGAATCGGGTAAATAAATTATATTGATCAAAATTTTGCGTTTTTAAGTATGTTTTCAGGGAATCTGGTGGGGGATGATTATTGGAGTCATCTTACAAACATTGGCTTTGTTCATTCTAACTGCAAGAACAAACTGGAACTCTGAGGTAATCTTACATTTGATTTCGTCGTTTTCGTAAGTCTGGTTGTCTATAGCATTTGCTTATAATCTATCATTCTTGAATACTATTTCCGGTTGTAAAAGCTGCTAATCGATTGAAGGAATCTGCAAATGAAGAACAGTTGAACCTAGTGGAGACGTGAACATTTCTTATTTACATATTTGTTTCAACTCGAACTCGAACTTTATGCAATGAAAAAAACGTAACCATCAAAATATACAAGTTCAATGAGAAATGATTGAGGACAACCTTTTCTACTACTACTTGTTCAACCATAAATTTATTTATTTGCAATAAAGTTCAGAGAGCCAGGTGAATTTGACAAGAATATATACAATCAATGCCAATGCTACATCACACCACTATTTACATAAGAAACAATCTTCATTAATTTATACTTCTCCGCAAGAGAAACTGACGTTGGATGCTATAGTAGAATTATAAGAGAAGGAGAAAGGGGAGAAAGAAAGAGAAAGGAGGGGCAAAGTCAGAAGAAGAGAGAGAGGAAGAGAGAAATTAGGGAAGAAAATCAAATTTTCATTATGAAAGGTTGTTTTATTACATTGTTATGAAATAATCCTGCAAGCGTATGGATTCGTTGTACAAGTAATAATATTGATGAGAGAGATATCGTCCCACAATGAGTAACTCTTAATTCTAGTATATTTGATATATGTAAATTCGTGATTGAGATAAAATATGTTTGGTTTATATCTAACTACGTCTTATAACTGCGAGTAATGAATATTTGTCTAAATTAAAAGTGATGAATGTATTGGATTTCTGATTCCACTAATCAACTCTTAATTTCAATTCTCAACTTATGATAGTTAATTCAATCCTTGCAGTTGTGACGATCAATAATTCCACTTTTATTTACTATTCTTTCCCAAGATATAATAAACCTATGATTGCCACGAGACGATCATATTCCTAGTCCGAATTCATATGACAAACATGCATTGACGTTTATGATTATCANTTCTTTTCCAAGATATAATAAACTTATATTTATCACAACACGATCATATTCCTAGTCCACATTCATATGACAAACATGCATTGACGTTTACAATTATTACACACGATCGCACACTTCATAAATATTATTCCTAATATTTACAATTCATGTGTTCTATAAACAATGTTTTACTTATCGTGAGTTTTTCAACACTATAAATAAGCAACTTATTGCCCTAATGGTGCGCAAACATTAAAACAATATGAATAAGCATGTTTATGGAATCACAATACGAGAATTAACTAAAATAACAAGTCTTGAATTAAAAACTAAAAGTCAAAACAGTTTCATCATTCATTCAATACAATTAAACTTAGTCTAGCATATTGATATAAGAATTACACAGAAAATAAAAGGGAGTCATCACCCGAATCATATAAATGTGAGAAAAATCTGGAAATCTTCACTTCAAGCTTTTAAAATTGGATCCAATAAGTGAATTCCTTCTTCTTCGATGTGAGTTCTCTTTCTTTTTTGCTCAAAAATACGGCTCTCCCCCGTTGTTGACGGCTCTCAGCTTATATATTATATTCATCTCAAGATTCGTTTCTTTAAGTATTTGATTGGAAAAAGGAAATTAAAATTTTTGCGTCAAACAACAACCATGCGGCTGCATGGTTATGAGCCATGCGATTGCATGGTTCATAAAATTGGGGCACTTGAAGTCCCTGCCAAGGCTCGTGCGACCGCATGGATAGTTCTACCATGCGGCCGCATGGTAGAGACATTTTTCCAGAAGTGTCGTTTTAGTCCTCGACCTTATTTTTTGTCATTTTAACTTCTTCTTCATTCTCCTCCTTCTAACATCCCTTGTATTTATCAAATTAGGTCTTAGCTCATTTACATTCTCAAGTTGTGCTTCGGGTCGTCTTTTATCTATTTACACTTTGGTCCCTAAACTTTTTTTTTTTCATTTTTGCCCTTTTTCGTATTTTTTCTCTTAAGTTCTGCCACATTCATCAGTATAGTGCTACAATACAAAATTAAGCAGAAATAAGCCATATTCAAGCACTTTTGTCAACAATTATTCATGTTATGTGGCAAAATAAGTGTTGAAAAACGCACTTATCATACATCGTCATAGTCCCTTTATATAGGGTTTCAAAGGTCATAACTAAGTAAAGAAATGCTATAAAAGTTATTAAATCACACTCTAATCACGTTTTCTACAATACAAATCAAAATAGGAAACTAAATAAATAATTATCTCCTATAATATTGCATCAGAAACACGAAAGCCAACATTAACTGATGCTTCGATCATTCATCGGAAAACCTTTCGATTTCCACAATTCCTCACAAAGCATTCAGCTGGTCTTGTGTTAGCCAACTCAAACCTTGCTACTTCAGAATAATTTACTGCATGTACGCTACATACGGGAGATCAATATAGGTGCTGAAACCGGGACTTCCTCACCCATGACTGGCTGGAAAAGGTCCAACTCTCCGTATCGCTCCAACACGCGCATTCTGCAGTCCTCAGCAGCCATCAAGCCAGTGAAGTATGCGCCATGGACTGACCCAGGGTAATCGATACTTGTAGCTTCCCCGGCAAAAAATAGGTTATCCAATGGGATCCTTAGCCTCTCGTACAGATCGTGGGATTTCCCTACTGTATCGTAGCTGTAAGAGCCCAGAGAGTTTTTGTCTGTGCCCCAATGAGAAACAAGGTACTGGATCTGCAGCACAAGTCTGTCAGAATCTGAATGTTACACCAGTACACGAGAGGCCAAAAACACAGACCTAAGATCATATTGTCTATTTTATCAGAGACAGAAATCAACACAGAAAAAAAGGTAACATTACCGGTGGAGAAGCAGAAGCATTTGGAAGGAGTTTCAGAAGTTGCGTAAAAGCAACATTAGCAGCAGCCTCATCTGACAATTTCTCTATGTCACGGGCCAGTTGCCCTGCTGGCATGTAAACAAGGGCAGAATGACCAGTGGCTTTGTGTAGGTTAAGAAAATAACTGCACCCATGAGAAGTCTCAGCAACAACACCCAGGAACTCTACGTTTGGCCAAAACACCTTTTCGAAGAGCAGAACTATCTTGTTCTCAATCCCAATTCCAAGATCATTAATGGCTTCTTCCTTCCACTTGGGTAATCTCGGCTCAAATTTGATACAATTAGATTTTAGAACACCAAGAGGTACAGTAAGAACGGCAGCATCTGCTATGAAGGTTCTCCCATCTTCTACCGTTACTTTCACTCCATTATAACGTCTAACTACCTTTGTAACTCTAAAGAGTGCAACGGAGAAAAACAAGAAAAGCAATCTTGTGAGTAAATTATGTTTCCAATTAAAGAGGGGTATCCATTGGAGCAATTGCTACTATCTAACCTATGGCCCAACCGGATGTCAAGACCTTTCGCCAGTGTATTAATAACAGGAAGATAACCCCTGACCATAAACCCGTGCCCACCAGGAAGCAGCACTTCCTGTAAATCAGTTGTACGAACAACCCATAAATAATTTCTTGCAGAATAGTACTTGCTCAAGTGACTTCTAGACTAGCAATCAGAGTCGATCTTTTTCTAGGCTAGAATAACTATGAGATCACCATCACAAAAAAACTAAGTTGCATACTATTCAAAAACAAGTAATTTCTTCATAAACAAAATCTCGATAAAGATTGATACAAGAAATGAAGGGATGAAAGAAAATGCACCCAAAGAGATAGAAAATTAACCTGGTCCCAGCATTTAACTGATATGGTATCAGCATCTGCGGCAAACCATCCTTCCATTCTGCACAGGCACCATTGGAGCACCTTATGAGCTAGCCCCTCCAACCTGAAATGAGAGATATATTTATTTAGTAGATTAATTAGCTTGTGATAAATAAAATGATAATCTGATAGGGTTATTCATCGATAAAACCTTAAATCTGGCCTTCTTTCCAAAACAATGGAAATTGCACGTTGTATAGACATGTCCCCGCTAAATTCCTGTCTTACTAGATCAGTCTGCCGTAAATGAAGTAAAAGTTATGTCAGCAACAAGATGCATAAAAAATTCATTCCAATTAAAGAAGGAACTAAAGATTGAGTGCCTCCCTAATCCACAAATACAAGGATACATGCCTCTTTCAAGATGCTCTCAAATGTTTCACCAGTCTTTGAGACTAATTCTTGAGGAACTTGATTTCCATCCAAATCGTACAACGCGTAGCTGAAAATGGAAACAAGATATTAGCTGCCAACCATATGTGACATATAGTTGATCGAAAACATAGATAACATATGAGAAAAGACCCACCATCTGAAACATATCAGAAGTAATATCTAAGCCGATAGGCCACAAACTAAAACTCAAGTAGTTTAGAAAATTTAACGTATCAGAAGTAAAAAGAGCTATACACAAACCTTTCTAAATCATGGTCATACAAAACTGAGTTGTCCCCACTTGTACGATACAGAGGCAGTCCCAGTCTCCCAATAACAGGTGCCAATGGGTTCTCCTTGCAAACACCATGCAACCTGAAGTCTCGACATAAAGATAATAACTAGTAGGAATAGAGAGGGATATCTAAAAGTTCAAACAAAGAGGAATATACATCTTTTTAGAAATAAACTATAGTTACCATGAAGCGCCCAAGTCAACAGGAAAACCAGATGAATAATCAGTGTGAACTCGACCACCGATTCTATCCCGTGATTCCAACACGATAACCTGCAAAAATTAACTACTCCAAAGACAAGTGTTTTTGGCATGCCATACTTCGAAATAGGTACAGAGTACATACCTGGAACATAGCATCATGAAGAGCTCGTGCGGCGGCAATGCCAGCAAAACCACTGCCTATGACAATGACTGATGGAGAGGATACTACAAATTTACAAAAAAAATAACTCAGAAATTGCCACTAAAGGAACACAAACATATATTCTGCATACAGATATCATTTTGTTTATGTTAGTGCATAGATTATCTTCGAACACAAGCGCAGATTAACAAATGGCTTGAGCAAGATTCAAATATATTCAATCTTTATGTTAATTTCTCGTAATATTTTAGATGTATAAACAGTTTTATAATTATTATATCTTATTATTTGATTTCAAGAATACGTGAATCGTTGATCAGCTTTTAAGTTTCATCAAAAAAGTCCTAGAATATAATAAAAGAAATAACACTTTCTTAACTAGAACAAAATAATAAATAAAACCTACGAACATTAAAATTCAGTATAAAGTCTACAGATTTAACCACAAAATAATGTCAGTTCCACTATTTAATCTTAAAAAAAAAAAGAAAAAAAGAAAAAAACCAAAATTTTAAATACTTGAATGAAAAATATTGGAAGAAGCTGAAACAAACCTCTTTGCATTTGGCAATCACTCTTGTCCTCTGACTCCATGATTCCAATTCAACGGCGATCGACGTTGATCAAGAAGATCAAGATAATTACAATAAAAAATGATTTGAAAATTTAAGCTTAATCCCGAATATAAGTTGAATAATCTTAACAACAACGGTTGTGATTTTAGAGTAATGGAGAACATAAATAAGAAGGCAAGTGATGAAATGATTTGAATTTGTAGAAAGACGCAGATTCAGCAAACAGCTTGTTGACGTTGAAAAATGGTCCCGATTCGTGGCCAACAGGATAAGTCTTCACGTATGCTCCTCCCTGCACACAGTAGCACACCGTTAGTCACTCGTTGCCTTTCCCGGTGGGGTGGAAGCGGCCGCGAGCACTCCAACGGTCAAGTTAGTGTTTCGTTCAACCGAAAGGTGGTGCCCGACGATGATGTGGTCAACGGGACGTGGCTTAGAATGTGTGAAAATGTATTGAAAGGCCCTTTAGAGTTAACAAGATTAGAATACAAAGATCAAAATGGGAACCCCTTACTCTTACCATTATGGGGGTATTTATACTAGGAAAGGGAAGATGTGGACCGTTGGATGAACGGACACGTGGCTTCAGATCCCGTGTAAGTCATCCTCTCATAGGCGTCAGTCCGTCAATCCATAGGTTGGCAGACATTAAATGATTTCTGACATATCAGCTGAGTTGACTGTTTGTAGCCTGCCACACGTCCGATCAATCAGTCAAGAACTTGACTTTGGAGATCTCCTAAAAGATCTTGACGAGGGTGTGGCGAGGAGGATTGCGAAGTGCAATGAGTGCGGAGTGCGGGCCTTTGCATCCGTCGTGAAAGGTGGATGAGTTCGGGTCTTCTACTGAGTAGGGCAATGGTATTTCAGTTCGGAGCTATAAAATCAGTTCATCCGACATAGATTCAGTTCGTCTGCCACGTGGCGACATCAGAATAGTTCGGCCAACACGTGGTGGATGAGGTGGACGAACGAGGTGGAGGGCCTCAGAGGGGCCGTAACACAACTCATACGTGATTCGTTTAACTCCAACTATGGAATCAGGGTTAAATTTGGGATTCTCAAGAAAAAAAATTTCATTAAGTAAAATTTGGAAGAAAGACACAGAAATGAATGGAATTTTAGGTGGGAATTGATATATTTACACAAAATATGGTGGCCTTCTTAATCTCGCTCGCTATCGTAAACGTCCTACGTAATATACATGTGACGATTCAATGGTTGAGACAATAAAAAAATTATCACATTAATGCATTAAATTATTAACCATCACATGTATGTCATGTAAAGCGACTACGATAACGCGTGACCGTAAATAATATTATTTTTTTGTTTAGCGTGTGGTCAAATAAAAATTTTACTTTATAATTTTCTTTTAGAAACAAATGTCAATGAGCAGTGAAGCAGTGACATCGTTTTGATTGTTTTTGTCTTCTAGAATGTGTCTTTTAAACACGTCACTTCTAACATTTGCATCCCGTCAGTCATAGACATGTTGTTTTCGGACATTTATTTTCTAACTATTTTCAAAATGCTGCAAACATGTCATTTTTAGACATATACTCTCCAATTAGACATAGCTTTTCAAACACAACTCTTGCCAACGTACAATATGCAATATGCACTTTAGCCCAAAAATAATTCTTCATTTCACTGAAGGTCCA